TTCAGATTCCGTGTCTCCCTCTCTCTCTGCCCCTCCCCTGCTTACACTCTGTCCTTCTCTCTCTCAAAACGAAACCTTAAAAAATGTGTTGTAATTTTTTAAATCATAAAATATTAATGAAATTAACAACCTATATTACTCTCTACTTAACGTGTAGCTTGCAAGAATTAAATGATATCTACCCGCATAAGACAGTGTGGCATCCCTAGAAGGTTAAGATTCACCAGGAATGCAGAGATGCATACCTGCCCGTGATATTGCTGAAAACCTCATTTTAATGATTGCGTCACGTGACGCCATAGGCTTGCACCAGAATTTAGCCTGCCCAACCCCGTTGGTGTGCTTCACTTCGTCACCGTGAATCAGACTGAGATTAACCACCGTGGACTCACTGAGCTTTGCGTTTCTGACTATATCCTTACGACACGTGCCTAGACAGGTGTGGCCGTTTGTTCAGGACGCTTAGTGAGAATTTTCTGGTCGCCTTCCCAAAAGCTGGTCACCAGCGTGCATCCCATGAACACCGTACCATCGTATCACCAACCGTCTCACCACGCCCCCAGCGGCACTGGGTGTAGTCTTTACTTTTATTATTATCACCTCTGCCACTTTGAACGTGGCAAGTGAAGCCTCGTTATTTGGGTTTCACTTATTTCGTTGCGGCTGCGGCTGAACGCGTTTTGTACGTTCACCGCGCGCCCAGCTTTCGGGGTCCCTCCGGTCCCCGCCCCCGTCCCCGCTTTGGCCGCCAGGTAGGCGGGTGGGGCCGAGCGCGCAATTCCGGGCCCCGCGGCCAGGGGGCGCTGCCACCCAAGTCCCCCACCCCTGCCTCCCCGCCCCGTCCGGGCTGGGGCGGGCGGCGGGGGCGCAGGCGAGGGCGGGGCGCGAAGGTCGGCGTCTTCAAGCCCTGACCTTCGCCGGAGGGCCCCGCGGCAGCATGACGGTGGGAGCCAGGCTCCGAAGCAAGGCGGCGAGAGGCCTCCCGCGCCGCGGGCCCCGGGGGCGAGCGCGGACGGAGGGGGACGAGGAGGCGGCCGCTCTCCTGGAGCAGCCGGAGCGCGGGGACGAGGCGGCGAGCTGCGCGAACGCGGGGCGCCCGGGCGCCCGGGGCGCGCGCAAGGTGCACCTGGCCGTCCTCCCCGAGCGCTACGAGCCGCTGGAGGAGCCGGCGCCGGGAGAGAAGCCCAAGAGGAGGTACCAGCAGAAGCTGAAGAAGTACGGCAAGGTAGGGCCCGCGGGGTCGGGGTGCGGGCGGTCCGGGCCCCGGCTTTCCGAGCGATCGATCGCCGCGAGGGTGGGGTCGGGTCCCCACCGTCCGGCTGCGCTCAGCCTCTCCGGGCTGCCCCTGCGTCCCCTCGCCAATAGTCGCTACTAGAGCACCAGAAAGTGTTCCGCCTGTCGTCCGGGAGGTGAGGGAAAAGGAAGTCGCAAGTAATGACAGAGGCCAAACCAGGGCTTTCGGGGAGCACCGATGCATCCGCTCCTCTGGGGCTGGCGGGTTGGTAACATTTCCAGCGGGCCCCAACATTCCTGGTGGCTCTGATCCCCGTGAGGCTTAACCTCCCTTGTCCAGTTGGTGGGATAGAATTCCCTATTTTACAGATGGGGAATACTGAGGCATTAGCGTGGTTAGGGGACTTGTAGAAGGCGACCCAGCTGGAAAGTAGGGAGTTGGGGGCCAGTTCATCCGTTCTCTGCCAACAGTCCTCGCCAGGGTGTCCCTCCAGCTGAGAGCTGTTTGGGTTATGACCCCCAAATATTCCCACGGTTATTTCCAGGGCCTGGGAGCTCAACAGATACGTACATAGGCACTTGTTGGATCTCCTTTTCTCTTCTCCCAGCCGGCTGTGGGTGTATTCTGGGGCCTGCAGACATGCCTTTTGCCTTGGGTGGGGGCAGGGGAGGAGGAAGGGGTGAGACAGAGAGGGGGAGAGCGAGAGAATAGGAATATGGGATAAAATGACAGTGTCCTCAGAGGTCAGAGCCTGAGGTGCCCAAGTGCCTCTGCCTGGAATCACTTGCAGCTGCTGCTGAGTCCGCTCCCTGGGGCGGGACAGGGCCACACAGAAGACTGTGCAGAACTCACGGTGTCCTGGCCGAAGGCGCCGTCTGCTTTTTACTGCCTCATTATCTGTGTCATCCAGTGGCCTCTTATCATATCTAAAACCATCCAGTCTCCACTCCTAGGAACTTCGGTTTATTATCCCCTGTAAAAAGCAGTCACAGTGCACGAGCAGCCAGTGGTACGTGTTATTACTAAAAACTGTCAAGTCGGGACTTTCCAGCTCGGAGTCGCGCTAGGACTCCTCGGGCTCTTCCTGGTCTCAGTGGAGCACAAGGAAGCAAGCCATCATTTGCCTCAGCTGGTGAAGTGGTAATGTGGACAGCTCGGGTCACAGGGTGGCCCTTGGAGGTGGTTTCTGGGAGCTTGCCACGTGTAGGGACTGTGCTAACCACTGGAGATGCAAAAATAGATACAGAGCAGTCCTGCCCCAGTGAAGTCCACGCCTCCCGGGGAGATCCTGGCATAGTTGGGGCACCGCCATGGAGCCGCATGGTACAGAGTCCTCAGGAGGTTGGAAAGCTCAGGACGTTTTCTTTTTTCTAAGTGTTTATTTATTTTTGAGAGAGACAGAGCACTGGTGGGGGAGGGGCAGAGAGAGAGAGGGAGACACAGAATCCGAAGTAAACGCCAGGTTCCGAGCCTGATGCGGGGCTTGAACTCGAGAACGGGGAGATCATGACCCGGGGGGAAGTTTTATTTTAAAAAAATTAAAAAAAAAAAAAAAG